CCGATGCCTGCACATTGTCGGGGTCGAAGCGCCATTTCTGTGCCGTGGATGTCGAGGGCACCTCGTTGAAGAGCTCCTCGTCGAAATCATCGTAATTCTCGTCCTTGACGGGTGTCGGCGTAGGTGTTGGCCGTTTTCGGGGCGCGTCAGCCTTGGATGGCCGCTTGCGCTTCTTGGCCTTGGACGGGGCATCCGATTCCTCATCGGATACGACAAAATCGGCCATATCATCTGAAAAAGTTGTCAGTTGGTTTTGGTTTTGCCTTGGAGAAGCCAGAAGCAAATATAACACACCGTCCTCATCTGCAGCAACGTCTTCAACGCCGCCGGACGCATAGTCCTCGTCGTCGTCTGCCACCGTCCGCGTGCGATTGCGGTGGCGCCGTTGGTTGGCATTCATAGCCACAAAGACATCATCCTCTTCGTCGGATGACTCTGCATAACTGATTTGTTTCCGGGCCTGGGAGGGTTAGAGAAGTTCCAAAGCCAAAATAAAATATAAGAAAAATATAAAATATAAAATATAAAATCCAAATTCTGTCGCTCGACCTACCTTGCGTGTCGGACTGCTAGTCGGGACTGCAAGACGGTTGGCCGACTTCTGTGCCGTCTCAGCAGGTGTAAATGGAGACGGGAGGACGTCGGTCTTCGGTACCTTGGTCGAGGCGTCCAACGGGGTGGTCGCGTTTTCCTGGGAGCTCGATGGCTCGGCAGGATCGCTGCTGGGCAGCGGCGTGATCTGGGCGGCACGAGAGGACACACGTGGGTTGGCCTTAGTCTCACGCAGGCAGGGCGAGGAGAGAGCCGTGCCGTCGTTGTCGTCGTCGGCGGTAGCTGTGGCACTGCGGGGCGGCTTCGATGCCGATGGGCGGACAGTTGAGGGTGTCTTTGCAAAGAAGCCGAGGATGCTCTGTTGCTTGCCGGTCGACGGCGCCACCGCCTTACGGGTAGGCAGCCGTGCCGGCGTGCGAGCGTCCGCCATGCTGCTGGAGGTAGATTGGCGTGAAGGGGATTCTGTGTAAAACGGCGAACGACGATCAGAAGAAGGGAATGGAAGAAACGAAAGAATGAAAATAGAATCAAGAAATCCGAGGAAAATGAGAACGGCAAAAGAAGGAACAACGGCAAGCTGGCTCGATTGAACAGCTCGTCTTGAAAGGAATGGATAGAACAAAGTCACCAACGGCACAGCTCGTCCTGTCGTGTGCCAGCTGGTCGGGAAAATCAAAGGGGTGGAGGAAACACGACGCGGTCGAGGATCCCCAGTCCCTGAGCGGAGCAGAAAACGACGCGTGAAGCTCGGCCCCACCAAACGCGCTGGGCGACAGCACTTAAACCAGGTTCGCGGTTGGTCACATGAAATATGGGCCTGGCCAGCCTCTGCCACTTGGTCTTTCCCGCGTCCGCTGTGGACAGGCCCCGCAAGAGCTCCTGCCGTGCCCAGCAACCTGTGCGGAGTGTAGCTTTTGGCACATGGGCAGGTGCTCTTGTGAGACAACCTGCATCAGGCAACGGCATCATCTGAGCACATCTGGATGAACGACAACAATACTATGTCGTACACTCTGCGGACACCCAACATTTGCTATTGCATGGCGTTGTTTTAGAACATATTTCCAGACACAACACGGCGGCCGCTGTGCTTGTTGTTCCTCCCCCCCGTCCATGCAAGTGTGTTGTTTAGAATCGACCTTGACATCACCAATTTCATTTTCAGCGTCCCTTTTCCGACCACACCTTTTATCTTGAAGCCGACTCGCACACCAAGATGGCGAACTCGTCTTTCCTCTCCCGCTTCTCGCTTTCCCGCGACGACTCGCCCGTGCTTCCGCTGCACACAAAATCGCTGCGCCACAAGCCAAGCGAGTACGACCTCGAACAGCTCTCACCACGCCCGTCGCAGTCTGTCCTCTTCTCCGCATCTGATCCTGAACCACCCGACTTCTTCCCCAAATCTCCCCCCGCCAAGTCCGGCCCATCGTCCGTCGCTTTCGCCTACCGGGATGCTTACCGAGATCAGCCGTCCTCATCGCGGGCTTCATCCCGCCGGCCGCGCGACTACGACTACGCCGAGGATCGAACGGCCAGCCAGGCGACGCAACCCCCGCTCTTTGCGGGTCCGCCGCCGCCCATTGCTACATCCGTTCTCATGTTCCGTGATGTCGAAGGCAGCAGCGGGTCCACCCTTGAATACGGTCGGCGCCACAGTGGCGCCAACAGCAGAAACAATCTCGCCGCAGAGACCGCCACAGCGGCGTCTTCCATTCGGCTTCCAACAAGCACGGTCCTCTTGGAACCTCGACAAACGGCAGCCGGGAATAGGATGCGCAGACGTGATGGCACGCAATTTGACGGCGACTCTACATGGACAATACTGCAGCGCCGCGAGCGTGCCCTCCAAAAAGAGATACAGCACTTCTTGGACGTCCAGTCGTCGGGTCTGTCGGCGGGACTGGGCCGCGGACCGCTGAACCCGAGTCCCAGCCCTGACCCTTCAAGCGGCGGTGGAGGACGTAGCAGAGGCAGCAGAAGCAATACCAGAAGCAACACGCCTACTGCAGAGTCCATTGCCGGCCGGTCCCTCCGCCTGCCCACCGAGCGTGCCGCGCCGACCGGTGCCGTCATACCGGTTCGCCAGCCCAAGCCACGCAAGCTGGGCCTGCGGGCTGCGCGCGCAGGGCTCGCCCGCAGCATCTCGCTGCTGGCCGACCTCAAGGCGGAAGAGGATGAGTCGCTTACGATGGCGCTGCAAGCACGGAAGCGCGCTCTGGCCCATCTGCGGCGCCTAGCGAGTCGCCGCAGCGACATTGCACGCGAGCTGCAGTTCTTGGAGACGGATGACGCCGAGCCATTGACGCGCGAGCTTGCCACCTTGCGCAGTGCACATGCCAGCACCACCCAACAGATCACTGAGCTCGAGGACCAGCTGACCATGCTGCGGCAGCGCAAGAGAACATTGGAGGGACGCATTGAGGACGCTGTGAACCAGCGTGAGTCCGGGCTCAGCGGCTACCGCGGTGCGCTCAAGGACGTGGACGCACAGCTGACGGCAGTGCTGCGCCGGCCGCCCATCCAACCGCTCGACATCGACGCGTTGGGTGCACATGCTGGGAACAGCGAACGCCCGCAAGAGGGCGGTATCCGGCTAGAGGAGCGAGACAATGTGCTTGGCGACGGCGACACCAACGAAGACATCGATGCATCTGCCGGATTGGAATTCCTACGCCTTCTCCCCGAGAGACGCACAGCCGAAATGGCACGGTTTTGGTGGGAGAATGAGGTCCGGCTTCTGGGGCGACGCAAGGCCGAGGTCGAGTCGGAACGTGCTGCTCTCGACGAAGGTGGCGCAGTCTGGCAAGACGCTGTCCGGCTCGTGTCCGACTTTGAGGCCAATCTGCGCCGGGAAATGGCGAGCGACATAGACGAGGATGACGTTGGCGCCAATAAGGGCAAGACAAGAACGCCGACACCGGAAGAGCGCATGCGAACACAGCTGCAGACAATGGCGACGGTGATCAAGGGCCTGCGTGGCCATGTGGAGAAAGCTGAGCACAAGGGCTGGAATCTACTCATCTGCGCGATTGGGGCTGAGCTTGAGGCCTTTCAGGAGGCGCGGAATCTGCTGCGACAGTCGCTGCGCGATGCTGGCCTTGATATTGAAGACGATGAGGATGATGGTGACCACCGGACCAGCACCGACAACAGCCAGCTCATTGCCACTCTTGGGCCGAGCACGACAAAGTCAGCAACGCCACCGGGGTTTGTCCTGGACGGCCTCGAGGACAGCTCGGCTACGCCCCGGCTGGCCCGCTCTGTAAGCGATGGATCGGCTGTGGCAGCAAGAGGTGGCGATGATCGCGACGGCTACCATACGGCGTCGGAGAGCGACGACAACGATGTTCCGCCGGGGCTGCTCATTACGGAAGAGCATGGGCAAGATCATGACGAAGAATCGAGCAGCGCGAACGGAAGCCAGAGCCGCCACAACGACAAGGATGATAGCAGCGAGAACGAGATTCCACCCGAGTTTCTATCAGAACAGCACCCAGACGATGATAACGAGCCATAGCGGTCGCAGGACGGTATATCCCGAGCTTTATTTGTAGGATGAACTGTCTATTATTGTGACCATTTGGAATGGAGTTTTGGACTTGTATTTCTTCATTGGATGGCATCTTTGGATTTCATAGCGGAATTATGGTATATACTTATTTTAATGAGAACTGTTGGAGGCCGTTGAGTCGGCTCGCTATACTAATGCTTATCAGCAAAATTGAGACGATTCGTTGTCATACTCCGCAGTGGATTTTGTGTCTAGTGCCGACTTACATGTGAAAGTAACGGTGACAAAAAAGAACAAAAAAGGGTCCAGCGCCGGCTGCTGCTCGGTAAAGGCAACGCGCCCACAAATGACACACCCACTTGCCATCTGCCCGACGAAAACAACATTCCTGCACTCGTTCTTCATCTCATGCGCATTTCCCGCTCTAATTTGTCGTTGTTGCACACGACATTGTCGCCTTCTTCAAGATCAGTGTCCACCCAAGCTCTTTCGAACACAAGAGGCACACATTTCATATATTTCGAAAGAGTTGTCATTAACCGCTACGCTTTCAATATATTGTCACAGTTCCTATACACGGAGAACAAAAAATAGAATTCGAGGGGATTGGAAAACCACGGCCACGCGGCTTCGGTCAAAAAAGTAAGGTATGAGCAGAGACGAATGGAAGTCCCGTGACGGGATAAAACACACCGGCCACGACGGGCACACGAAACCGACCAGGAAATTTCAATAGAGAGAAGAGAGAAGAGAAAGAAAACGGTATGCAGGAGCAAGGGAAACAAAAATGCAGACATAACCCTGGCGAAGAAGTACAAAAAAAGGGAGCATCAGAAAGCATTCCAGCATTCCATCGTTATCGTCGTTTGGTTCGTTCTTTTTTATCTGTCATCGGAGGTCCGGCACCACCACCACCCACGATGTGTCTCAAGGACATCTACCGTGTCCGCTCGAACCAGCTGCTCGAACCGGCCAGTGCCACGGACTGGTCCATGACCCATTCACCGACGCCCAGGTACTTGTTGATCCACTTGTTCATCTCCTTGTTGTCGCCAGCAATCTTGTCCGTCTTGATACTGGGCCTAGTGCGACCCCCAGAAAGACGAGGGACACAAGTTAGTCAACTGTGATCTCGACGGATCTTCGCAAAACGGAAAAGGGGAAGTTGTCGTCGCTTCGCTTACGTCAAGCCGGTCGAGCGCTTCATGCCGGCCAGGAAGGCAGAAACTGTCAAAATGGTAAGCACTCTGTCCACTCGCCTTCTTTGCTTTGTCTCTCCTCCCTCTGGGGTTCTGGGGCGGACCCGGGACCAAAACATACTGAGAACCGCATCGAATGCGTAGTGGGTGAGGCGGCCAAACTTTGACCACAAACCAAACGTCAGCAAGTCGAGGAGCTAGAAAAGAGAAGTGTGAGAGAGAAGAAGAACCCGAGAGGACCGCAAAAAGGTTCCAGGCAAGCTTTCTTGACGTCTCTTTCGGACACGGGAACGGCAGAGCAAAAAACAAAAAGGCGGAAGAGCCGAAACACAAATCCGCGCTTTGCCTTATCTGCCAAAAAGAGGAAAAAGAAAGGGTCGACAGCAGCATGGTGTGGGAACTCACCATCTTTGCAGGTGGGCGAGTGGACAAAAATTCGAAAATTCGAAAACAGGTCGGTCAAGCGAGTTGAGGCGGTTGCTCGTGCGATCACAAGGATTTGTATTTTCGGTTTGTCTGGTGATTGGAGATTTCGCAAATTGGCGATACCGAGCGTTACTTCCTTTTCGGAGATTGTGCGTTCCTTCTCGATTTGTCTTTTTTCTGCCTCTTCTATTGTCGGTCAAGAAAGGTGAGTCGTACGCGTGCGTCTTGCTTTAGATCGGGGAAGAGCGATGCAGGATGGAGAGATCGGAACGGGCAGCGAACCCAAGGAGGGGAAGGCAGCCACTATTATCCCGACTGGCACGAGACATTCCTACAGTGGCCGAACCGAAGAAAAGGCTGAGGAGGGAAGGTGGCGGTGACCGATGAGCTGTGGCGCAGTATCACGTGACGATACGACGATAACAGGTTGGTTCCTGATCAATCCCCCTTATCTCCCCTTGGCCTCCTGTCTTATCAGAATGCCCCTCATACCAGGCCAACCACTCTAACCGTTAGTTTTAAGTGCACAGTTGGTGTCTCGCGGATGCTCCACATTGGTTTCTCAAAGAGAGGTCGCAGCGCTGTTCAGCGTCTTTTGTGTGCTTTTCAACAAGTCACCTTTGAGGACTGGCAAGCGCTCGCTCTTACCCAAATCGTATCGCGCGTTACACACTGCTAAAGGTCCTAACCATTGAGGCGCTGGCCATCACGCCTTGCCTGATTAGGTGCGGCCGGCACTGAGGGGTTATTATTTTCGCCGCGTTTTCCAGCGAGCTCCTGCCATTTGTCCAATCGTTGCTGCGTGTTTTGCAGGCGCGAACGGCCCACGCCGCCTTGGACCGTTGTTTATCAAGCCTAAGACGGGTTTCAGAGGCAAGTGCCCAGACAAAAAAGTGGCCGCGAGCGAGACACAGCAGAACAAATGCGGCTGGTCGGACCTTCCCTCCATGAGTCCTGGAGCCCGGCAACAGCCAGTTGGCAGGGCAAGAACGAACAAGTGTCGTGAAGCAAGACAGCTGAGTGGCTGTCATCATGAGCGGGACGAGGAAGGAGCGACGGTGAACAGCTCCGTTGCAATCTGTGGACCACGGACGTCGTGCAAAAGAAATTCGGTGCAGGGCTGGCGAATCACCGAATGGGGAAATAGCAACAACGAGGGATTGAGCGATGGGGAAGGTGCGACAGAGCGATTGCACTGCAACTTGAGGCACTTTCCCCAATGCTTTTTTTATCCCTCTACTGAACAGGCAATTGCCTTCCTGCCTTGTCTCAATTCTAGTTTTCCTCGTGTTTCGCATCTCCTGCTTTTCTTCCCTCACTTCTCCCTCTTTTGCTTCATCTTCCTTTCCCGCCTCCTATTCCAAACTCAAACAGCATTCTGTGATTCTCCAATTCCCCCCACCCCAAACGGCCTTTTGTTGCTTGACGCAGCTTCCCGTAACTAAACTAGCTACTTGCAGCGGTGTGGATCTTGGCGAGTAGCTGACCCCTCCGCCGTCGTCTTAATTACGAAGGAAAAAAAGGTAAAAAAAGCTCAGCAAAAAAATTCGTCCCAATTGTTCCTGTCCTGCGCAGTTCAACGACTGACAAAAGCTCTCCCCCTTTCCAATAGAAAAGCAATCGGCAAGACGCTCTTTCCACTGTGTCGTGCCTCTTTTCGCTGCCCTTTTTCTCGTCTTCCAAACCAAGATCAACACCCTTTTCCGCTCCGTTCAAAGCGCCCAACATAACCATGGTTGCCAGCGCTCTTGACCACCTGTCGCTTGGCGGCCGCATTGACTGGCTCGCCAGTCTGAACACCGATGCCAAGCCTGAGAAGAACTACCGCCGGACGTCCATCATCTGCACGATTGGCCCCAAGACCAACTCCGTCGAGGCCATCAACGGCCTGCGCTCGGCCGGCCTGAACGTCGTTCGCATGAACTTCTCTCACGGCAGCTACGAGTACCACCAGTCGGTCATCGACAATGCCCGCGCCGCCGAGGCCAGCCAGCCCGGCCGCCAGATTGCTATCGCCCTCGACACCAAGGGTCCTGAGATCCGCACTGGCAACACCAAGAACGACGAGGACCTCCCACTGAGCGCCGGCACTGTCATGAACTTCACCACCGATGACAAGTACGCCACTGCCTGTGACACGGCCAACATGTAAGCTATGCATTCCTGCTTGCGGGACCTCCCCGCCAGCTTCGTCCGATTTTGTCACGCACCCCCACCAGTTCTCTGGCTGACCCCCACCCTCCACAATATACAGGTACGTCGACTACAAGAACATCACCAAGGTCGTCAAGCCCGGCCGCAGGATCTACGTGGACGACGGTGTCCTGGCCTTTGACGTGCTGGAGGTTGTGGACGACAAGACCATCAAGGTCAAGGCGCGCAACAACGGCTTCATCTCGTCCAAGAAGGGTGTCAACCTGCCCAACACCGATGTAGACCTGCCGGCGCTGTCCGAGAAGGACAAGAACGATCTGCGGTTTGGTGTGAAGAACAACGTCGACATGGTGTTTGCGTCGTTTATTCGCCGCGCCCAGGACATCAAGGACATCCGCGAGGTCCTTGGCCCCGATGGCAAGCACATCCAGATCATTGCCAAGATCGAGAACCGCCAGGGCTTGAACAACTTCCCCGAGATTCTGGCCGAGACCGACGGCGTCATGGTGGCCCGTGGTGACCTGGGTATCGAGATCCCCGCCGCCGAGGTGTTCGCGGCCCAGAAGAAGCTGATCGCCATGTGCAACATGGCCGGCAAGCCTGTCATCTGCGCCACGCAGATGCTGGAGTCGATGATCAAGAACCCCCGCCCGACGCGCGCCGAGATCAGCGACGTCGGCAACGCCGTCACGGACGGTGCCGACTGTGTCATGCTGTCGGGTGAGACGGCCAAGGGCAGCTACCCCCAGGAGGCGGTGCGCGAGATGAGCGACACCTGCCTCAAGGCCGAGAACACGATCCCGTACGTCAGCCACTTTGAGGAGCTGTGCCAGATTGTCAAGCGCCCTGTCAGCATTGCCGAGTCGTGCGCCATGGCCGCGGTTCGGGCGTCGCTGGACCTGAACGCCGGCGGCATTATCGTTCTGTCGACGTCGGGCGACTCTGCACGCCTGCTGTCCAAGTTCCGCCCCGTGTGCCCCATCTTCATGGTGACGCGCCAGCCGTCTGCGTCCCGGTACAGCCATCTGTACCGCGGTGTGTACCCGTTCTACTTCCCGGAGGCCAAGCCTGACTTCAAGGAGGTCAACTGGCAGGAGGACGTGGACCGCCGCATCAAGTGGGGCGTGCAGCGTGCCATTGAGCTCAACGTCCTGACCAAGGGCGACACTGTGGTCGTTGTGCAGGGCTGGAAGGGCGGTGTCGGCAACACCAACACGCTGCGCATCGTCAAGGCCGACGTTGAGCACCTCGGCATTGGCCAGGAGTGAAGGTAACATCAACATCGGATGGGAAAGACACTGATGGGATGTGCCGCGGTGAGAATGCGCCTGGAACCGTCCTCATCGTGCTTTCCTGACAGGGTGTACACCATGGCTCGAGCCTCTCGAGCCACTGCCGTTGCCTTTCCACTCCATCGCGTGTCGAACACCGATTGTCGGTCCAATGTCCGACTGGCGGCTGCCATGGTGCCGTGCCCTTCGCCTTGTCATTGTCGGGGCTTTTATGTTGTCATGCTGTCATGCCGTCAAGCTGTTGACATGTTTGAAGTGCCATTTTCTGTTTGGTATCTCGCGTGGGTCAAGAGGTGGGATGAAAGGCTTGCATTTGTTCCTATTTTCCTATTTTCCTGTTTTGTGCTGGCTTGTTTCCCATGTTCTTATGTCCTGCCGGCATTTCGTTTACCTCTTATTCAAAACACAACCCATAAAAAACCCTTGCCGCTGCTGTCGGACGACACGTCCAGTCAGGCTGGCCCATCCCACGGGCGATACATATATGTGTGCGCCGTGGCCTCTTTGCATGCTTACCGATCCCGTCCTTTAGACTAGATATGAGATGCGCAAAATTGAAAAGTTGTTGTAAGTGTTCTGTAGTCGTCTTTGTGCTATGCAAAGCGGTGGGCAGAATCATGGCGATTTCGCTTTGATACGATGTATTACAGCGTGTCAGTAGCGCGAATAGCCGGTGATGGTCGCCGTGTTAGTGACTTGGGCCCTGCGCCATGTGTGGGGAGGAAATTAATAGCCGAGCTTCCTGACGTCGAACTCCACGACCGCGGAAAGTCAACATCCTTTGTCGCGTGGCCGTTGACTTGTCCCTCTTCGGCTCTGATCCTGTTTAGTTACTTTCCTTATTATTGAATTTTATTCCTTCCGACAACGATGACGCCCATGACCAACACACGACAGCAACCATGAAGGCGGTCCAGATCCGCGAATTTCTCAAAGTCCGTGAGCCAGTTGATACCGTCGTTGCCCCAGAGAGCTCTCCCTGTCTTGTAGTCTTCCGTCTAACAGTTGAGAACCTCGGTGACGTCACCGTCTCCGACGTAGCGCCGCCTGTGCCCAAAGAGGACGAGGTGGTCGTGCAGGTGAAAGCCGCTGGCGTCAACTTTGTCGACACTCTCTATGTAGGCTCCCGTCTTGTTCAGCTCCTATGGTTCCTCAGCAAACCTGACACTGTCTCCCCTCTAGGCCCGTGGGAAGCACCAAAATAACCGCCGCCATGTTACGCCGCCGTTCACCCTTGGCCTCGAGTTCGCCGGCATCGTCATGTATGCGCCGCGCACCGGCCCTGGCGCGGCCTTCCAGCTCGGCGACCGCGTCTTCGGCTCGTCCCTCGGCGCCTACGCAGAGCAGATCGCCGTCCCTGCCTCTGCACTCAGCGCGATCCCGCACGGCTGGAGCTACGCCGCCGCCGCGGGCATGGCTGCCACACTTCCGGTGTCCTACGGCGCCCTGGTGATGCGCGCCCAGCTGCATGCCGGCGAGACGGTGCTCGTGCTCGGCGCCGCCGGTGGCTTGGGCTGCATGGCCGTCCAGATTGCCGCGCGCGCTGTCCCCGCCAATGGCGGCTATGGCCGCTGCCGCGTCATTGCCGTCGCATCGAGCCCGGAAAAGTGTACCGTGGCACAGCGCTGTGGCGCCGACGTGGTCATTGATACGTCCGACACGGCGTCGGGCAAGCCGTGGTGGGCGCGTGTGCTGGACGCGACGCCCGATGCTCGCGGGGTCGACGTGGTCTTTGACTCGGTCGGTCTCGTGAGCGAGAGTCTCAAGTGTCTGGCGCACCGGGGCCGCGTGTTGGTGGTGGGATTTGCGGCGCGCGACGATACGACGCTCGAGCAGGTGGCCATGAACCGCGTCCTCCTCAAGCAGGCGACGATCGTCGGCTACCGGTACGGCGAGTCGCTGCGGCGGGACCCAGACGAGAACCAGCAGATCTGGCGCGGCCTGGAAGGTATCATTGCCGCGGGGACGATCCAGCCGGTGGTCTATGATCGGCCGTATCGGGGGCTGGGCGCGGTGGCGGATGCGCTGCAGGACATTGCCAACAGGCGCGTCTGGGGCAAGGCCATTGTCGATGTGGACGGCGTGGACGACAAGGACTCGGGCACGTCGAAACTGTAGGCTGGTGCAGGTAGCCTTTGCACTGGCGTCCTCTATATGTACACATATGTAACTGCACATGGATAACAACAATGCACATCTACGCTGACGACCGTTCTCAGCTTTTAAAGTGTTGTTCAGGCAGAAAAAAAAAATCACAGAGGCTCTGATCTAAGAATAAAACAAAAAAAGGGAAAGAAAATGGCGGGAAAGACAAAGTACGCGCCGAGGTACCCATTGCGGGCTGCGCTTATACAACGCCCGCACCCCTTTTTGCCGCGTACATGCAAAACGTTCGGCCGTCCGACCTCTTAGAAACGCACACCCCAGATACCCCGTCCGCCACTCACGCCCAGCCACTCGCCGGCGTCACTGTTGGCCAGCCGCGGGACCCAGCCCAGGTTGCCGACCTCATAGTCGCACTGCCATGCCGCCACGGGTGCCCGCGCGTTTTCCGCCGGAGTCGCGCCGTTCGCAGGCGGCGCCGCACCGCTCCCAGGAGCACCGGGGGCGCCGCTGTTGCTGCTGATGGTGCCGCTGCCGCCGCCGCTGCCGCCCCCGGTGCCCAGGCTGCTGCCGGCCAGCAACGAGCTGTTGTTGGTCAGCAAGTCCCAGATGAGCACCTGGCAGTCGTCGCCGCCAGACGCCAGCGTCCCGCGACGGTGCGGCGACCACTCGACGCAGTTGACCGAGCCGCCGTGGCCGCGCAGCTCGAGCAGGGCCTGGCCAGGTTGCCGGACGTCCAGGATGCGAATGACGTCCGAGTCTTGGGCGAACGTGGCGAGCAGATGGGTGTCGTGGGGCGAGGTGGCCAGGCGCAGCAGCGGCGGCGGGTTGGACATGGTCTGCTGGGCGAGTGTCGGACTTATCCTACCGCCTTGGGCATCTGGTGTCGACGTAGTTAGCACAAAAAAAAAAAAAAAAAAAAACCGTGACCAGACAACATAAGACGGCAAGTCACCTACCGCGGTCATCCTTGCCTGTGGGCTCGTAGATGATAGTACTGTGCTCCAGACTACGCAAGTCAAACATACGCACGCTGCCGTCCTGGCCGCAGCTGACAAACACGTCCATGCTGCCGGCGCAGAAGCGCACGTCGTACACCTCCTTGTCGTGCGCAATCAGCTGCGTCTTGGCGGTGAGCGACGGAATGTCCCAGATGGTGCACGTCGTATCAATGCTCGACGTGATAATCAGGCTCGGCGACACCGTGTTCCAGTCCAGCGACGTCAGCGGCGCCGTGTGATCGGGTGTCTTGGAGTTGGACAGCAGCGCCAGCGGCGTCAGCTTGGTGGTGCCCGCGTCCCGCCGCCCAATCGTGCTGCTGGTCGCCGACGTCGGCGTGTCCGAGGGCAGCGACCACAGCCGCAGGTGGTCGCCCGACGTCGCCAACAGGTCGGTGGACTGTTTCTGCGAAGACGGCGGCTCCCAGAGCAGCCGCGTCACGGGATACGTGTGCGTGGCCTCGGCCACCTTGGTGAATTCCAGCTGGTACTTGGACGTGCCTGGCTGGTACGACTCGGCCGGCGCCTGGCTGACATGCGTGTCCAGGATCTGGATAAAGTTGTGCCCGTCCTCGAGGTAGCTGCCAATGGCCAGCTTGCCGGCGCCGTTGCCCGTCGATGGCCACTTGCACCAGTCGAATGCATACAGCGCCCACGGTGCCAGGTAGTTGCTGCTGCCCGGCTGGGCGTTGGCCTGGTCATAGCCACCAGGAAACCCGTCCGACAGGCTCGAGTCGGCGCGCGGCCGAATGTCTGCGAGACCGAGCGGCGTGTTGCGGGAGCCGCCCGGCCGCAGCACGTTGGGAACGGACGCGTTCATCGTGGCGGCTGTGAGGGGGGGGGGGGAGGAGAGAAGGGAAAAGGTGCCAAGATGGCGACCAGAATCGAGAATATGGCAAACGGCTGTTTCGTAGCAATGGTCGTCGAGAAAATGCTGACAAAAGAATGTCCCGAGTTAAATCAAAACGTCGCCAACGTCCGTCGCCGGAATGGGGGGCTCTGGCCCGTGGCCCAACAGAAGCAGCCGGTCGACAAAGTCCGCAGTATGGCTGCCGCGGTCGTCGCAAGTCGCTGAAAATACGTTCGTGGAGACGCAAGATGCGACGTCGACTCAGTTCACTGGCAGCCGCCCGACACTTTGTCAACCAGGAAGCTTTCCTATTTTGGTGGGGTAGTTATTACAGGGAACAGTTGCTGGCAACTGGCATGGCATTCGCATCTTGGCGTGATTATGTAACAGAGCCGAACGCCGCGGCTCCCAATAGGTGCACCGGTCCGGTGCAAATAAAATTTATTACCTAATATGAAATACGGCTTCTGATTGGCCAGGGACCGGTGCAAATAAAATTGGTTATGTAATCGCAAAACATCTCCTGAATTATTTTGAAGCCTTTTCAAAACATCACGAACATTATACGCACCAACGAAATGGCCTCCCTACCGCCCGACCGACCTCCTGCCCTACCTCCAGAAGCCGTCTACGAGTCACGAGAAGCCCTACTCCGGTCAATCAACGCGTGGGCGGCGCTGCATGGCTGTGCCTTTGTTACAGGACGGTCAAGAAAAGAGAAGTCAAACAGGACCATCGTGACGTATAGCTGTGATCGATTTGGCCCTCCTCCAGACCTAACAAGAGCACGGCAACGGAAGACCACGTCTAGGCGGACTGGCTGTCAATACTCGGTTCTAGCGAAAGAGTCTGTTAATGGCACATGGGTATTGAAACACCGAGATCAACAGTACTCTATTCATAACCATGACCTTTCTACAGCCCCTCTGGCGCACCCTGCCCACCGTGCGATCTCTACGTCTGAAAGAGCCGTTATTTCAAGTTATGTCGATGCAGGACTGGCCCCGAAAGAGATTCAATCGTTACTTCGAAGCACACATCAGACGTTAGCCACTCGACAAGATATCTATAACCAGATTGTTGAAATAAGGCGGCAAAGTTACCAAGGCCTTAGCCCTACACATGCGTTTGTGACTGGGCTTCAAAATGACGGTTTTTGGAGCCGTATAATGGTAGATTCAGAGGATCACGTCTCTGCTGTCTTATTCGCTCACCCAGACTCTCTAGATTATACTAGGTTTTATCCACACACTCTTTTATTAGACTGTACATATAAGACGAATAGGTATAAGATGCCGTTATTAGAAATAATCGGTGTTGATGCGTGCCAGCGGTCTTTTTGTATTGCTTTTGCTTTTTTATCTGGAGAGACAGAGGTTGACTATTCTTGGGTGTTAGGCCAAATAAACGAGATGTTTATTATTCATAATATACAGCTCCCTTCTGTTATATTAACAGACTGTTGTTTGGCATGTATAAATGCTGTTGAAGAGACCTTTTCAACATCGACACACCTTCTTTGCCTTTGGCATGCGAATAAAGCGGTGTTACGGTATTGTCAGCCCGCTTTTGACGATGATGAATCCTGGCTTCGTTTCTATAATTTTTGGCATCAAATAATCCAGTCACCAGACGAAAACACCTATCAACAACGTGTAACAGACTTCCGAAGAGAGTACGCATCACGGCAACCCATCGAAGTTGATTATATCTTTAATACTTGGCTTATATATAAGACTAAGCTTGTGAAGGCCTGGGTAGACCAACATCGTCACTTTGGTAATGTCGTGACATCACGGGTTGAAGGTATTCATGCTCTTTTAAAGAGTTACCTTCACAGCTCACAAAAGGATCTTTTTGATACTTGGTAGGCCATTAAACGAGTCGTGGTTAATCAAATTACCGGGTTACAGGCAACGCAGGCGCAACAGCAAATCAGGCTACCTATTGAACTGTCTGGGTCATTTTATAATGCCGTACGGGGCTGGGTCTCTCATGAAGCTTTACGTAAAGTTCATGAACAAAAGAGATTAATTCGACAGAAGGAGGCTGAAGGAGAGCCTCTTCCTTCTTGTCATGGCTCTTTTTCGGCGTCTTTTGGCCTCGTTTGCGTTCATAAAATTCAAGAGATGATCACTAATAATCAAGTATTACATTTGACAGACTTTCATGCCCACTGGCACCTCCGCCGGCCCCGTACGGAGCCAAGCCGTGTTATTTTAGAACCACGACAACGAATATCCACCTTTTCGGCATCACGGATACCACAATCAAGCACAAGACGAGAGCCTAGCGCATTTGAAGCGGTAGAGACAACGGCCCGGGCCCGGCGAAAAGCTCCGTCGAAATGTACGGCGTGCGGCGCCGTGGGACACACAAGAATATCACGGCATTGCCCCCAAAGGAGAACACAGGCAACGGAGACAACGGCGGAGACGGCGGCGGAGACGGCGGCGGAGACGGCGGCGGCGGTAATAACCATTATTACCGCCGCCGAGGCAGAGACGGTGGCGCGAGCGGAGGCAGCGGCTCACGCAGCGGTAGAGCCTTTTCCCGATATCGCGGTGGTAACCCAGGATGAAATAACGGAGCGGTATTTAACACAGGTGGCATGGCAGGAGCAGGAGGAGGCGGATGAGGAGGAGAGGGCGGCTTGGGCGGAGGCGGAGAGCGGTGCACCACGGCACCGGCGGCGTACACGGACCTCCCGTACATCGACGGCCCGTACACCGCGTGCTCGGAGGACTCGTTTTGGACGAGCTGCGCGGGCCGCCGCCGCAGAGGCTCAAGCGGAGGTGCAGGCTGCAATGGCACATGCGGAGCGAGTAGATGCAAGGCTACAGAGCCTTCGTGAGAGGTTTCAGCCGCTGGATTAGGGTAGTCGAGGTGCACATAATTTATTTGGTGATTTATACTACGTTTTATTTACTTTTGGCGATGCTTTTGGCGATAATGTTGGCGATGATGTTGGCGATGAAAACGATTATGTAAGGCATTTTATTTGCACCGGTCCCTGGCCAATCAGAAGCCGTATTTCATATTAGGTAATAAATTTTATTTGCACCGGACCGGTGCACCTATTGGGAGCCGAACGCCGCTGCAAAATTTCAACTGTGCTTAGTTATGCATAGGCCAGCTCCTCGTTGGCGACGGACCCACTCTAATTGGCTAGCGGATGCCCCGGCAGAACGTTAATGCCGCGCCGCGCTCGTCGAAGCCGAGAGGCAGGAGCAACCAACAGCTACGCTAGCGTCCCTGGGAAGGCGAGCAGGGCGCGCCAAAGTCTGCTCCTGCTGCGGGCCAGGCCTTTGAAGCAACCTCATATTCGAGGAAACAAACGCAACCGAACAGCGAAAAGCCAGCCACGGAAAAGAACGTTGAAAGGAACCTGACAGCCAACAGCAGCGGACGAGCCGACGCTTTCATCAGGCGACGCGTCCGTTTTCTTTATTGACGCTCCTTGTCTTCCCTTTCCGTCGATGACACGGCCCTGTTCATTTCATCCATTTTGTGGCCACATTGGTCCATTTTGTCTCTCTTCCCAAGCTACTTTCTTCTCTCCCTGCCGCCACTTTTGAGCTTTGTTTAGTTTTTATGTTTTCCTCTGCATCATCGTTGCCACCGAGAACCCTCTCTACCTCGACCTCTTCTTTCTTCCTGTTCTTTTCACACCGACGCCATCGCCATGTCGACGCGCGACTTGCTCTACGGCGGCGACTCCGAGTCGGACGACGACAACTTCAACCCAGCGCCGGCCGACATGTCTGACGAGGAGGGCGACAACGACGGCGACGTTGAGCCCAAGGCTGGCAGCTCCAGCCCGGCACCTCGCCACGGATCCTCGTCACGGCGCGCGGGTGATGACGACGACGAAGATGAAGACGACAGTACTGTGCGGCGACGCCGCCGGCAGGACGATGATGACGAAGAAAACGATGGAAGCAGCGTTAAAGCAGACGGCGACGACGCCAAGGCAGACCCTGGTGCACGGCGGCGATCCGTCGACGACAACGACAACGACGACGAAGACGAAGGCGCGGACGTGAGAGAAAAGAAGCGGAGTCGCAACGACGATGAAGACGAGGAGGATGACGAGGTGGATGAGGAAGAGGACGAGGAAGATGAAGACGAAGACGAGGAAGACGAGGACGATGTCCAGTCATCGGTAAGACATGCTCTGGGCGCAACAAAAGCGGCAGATGACGGAACAAGTAGTACTGACGTGTTTTTTGTCTCCAGAGGCACCGCCGCAAGCGTCATAAGCGCGACAGCCGGGCCGCCTTCTTCGATATCGAAGCCGAGGTCGACGACGAGGACGAGGGCGAGGACGACGAAAAGGAGGGCGAGGAGATAGGAGACTTCATCGACAATGCCCACCCCGACGACGTCGAGGAGCGCGGCCGCATGAACGACGACCGCCGCCACCGCGAGCTCGACCGCCGCCGCGAGCTCGAGCAGAGCCTGGACGCCGAGAAGCAGGCCGAGATCCTGCGCCAGCGCTACGGCAACCGCCGCCCGGCCAAGGGCCTGGGCGACTCTGCCGTCGTGCCGCGCCGCCTGCTCCTGCCGAGCGTCGAGGACCCGAGCATCTGGGCCGTGCGGTGCAAGGAAGGCAAGGAGCGCGAGGTGGTCTTCTCCATCATGAAGCGCATCGAGGAGCGCCTCGGCACCAAGGACGAGCTGGGCATCACGGCGGCGTTTGAGCGCGGCGGCGCGCAGTCCGTCATGAAGGGCTACATTTACGTGGAAGCCCTGCGCCAGACGGACATTATGACGGCGCTCGACGGCATGCTCAACGTGTACCCGCGCAACAACCTGATTCTGGTCGAGATCAAGGACATGCCCGACCTGTTCCGCGTGACCAAGACGCCGACGCTCGAGCCCGGCGCGTGGGTGCGTCTGCGGCGGCCGCTCAAGTACTCGGGCGACCTGGCGCAGGTGCTCGACGTCACCGAGAACGGCCTCGAGGCGCGCGTGCGCTTCATTCCGCGCCTCGACTACGGCGTGCGCGACGAGCAGCTGGCGGCGGTCAAGGGCGGCGCCAACGGCGGTAAGGCGGCGCGGCGGCCCCCCGGCGTGCCCGGCCCGCGCCCGCCGCAGCGGCTGTTCAGCGAGGTCGAGGCGCGCAAGCGCGGGCCCAAGAACATCCTGGGGCACACGCAGCCCAACACGTGGACGTACAACGGCGACTACTTTGAGAACGGCTTCCTGACCAAGGACATCAAGCTCCAGATGCTGGTCGTCAAGGACGTCAACCCGACGCTCGAGGAGGTGACCAAGTTTGCGCTGGGCGCCGAGGACGGCACCGAGAACCTGGACCTCAAGGCGCTCGCCGCCAGTCTCAAGGACAGCAACGCCAACGTGACGTACGTGCCGGGCGACGTCGTCGAGGTCTACGAGGGCGAGCAAAAGGGCGTCATCGGCCGCGCCGCCAACATTGTGGGCGACATTGTCACGATTGACGTGACGGAGGGCGAGCTGCGCGGCACGACAATCGAGGCGCCGACCAAGAGCCTGCGCAAGCGGTTCCGCGCGGGCGACCACGTCAAGGTCATTGGCGGCCGCTTCCGCGACGACGTCGGCATGGTGGTCAAGATTGACGAGGACCGCGTCACGCTGCTGACGGACCAGAGCAACACGGAAATCACCGTCTTCAGCAAGGACCTGCGCGAGGCCAGCGACACGGGCGGCCAGGGCGCGCTGGGCCAGTACTCGCTGCTGGACCTCGTGCAGCTGGACCTGTCGACGGTCGGCTGCATCATCAAGATCGACCGGGAGTCGCTGGTGGCGCTCGACCAGAACGGCGACAAGCGCACGATTATGCCGTCGCAGATTAGCAACTTGCTGCCCAAGAACAAGATGGCGGTGGCGGCGGACCGCAACGGCTCCGAGATCCGCCTCGACGATGTCGTCAAGGAGTACGGCGGCATGCAGCGCCAGGGCAAGATCCTCCACATCCACCGCTCGTACCTGTTTATGCACAGCAACTCGACCACGGAAGATGCCGGCGTGTTTGTCGCGCGCGCCAGCAATGTCAGCACGGTCGCGGCCAAGGGCGGCCGTGTGAGCGCGACGGCCGGCGGGCCTGACCTGAGCACGATGAACCCGGCGCTGAAGCGCAACGGCCGGGGCGGCCCCGGCAGCATGCAGGCGCCGCAGCGCGTCATGGGCCGTGACCGTGCGCTCGGCCAGACGGTGACGATCCGCCGCGGCGGCTACAAGGGCCTGCTGGGCATCGTCAAGGACACGACCGACCTGCACGCGCGCGTGGAGCTGCACACCAAGAGCAAGATCGTGACGGTGCCCAAGGCCGACCTGATTTTCAAGGACAAGTTGACGGGCCGTGCCATTGATATCAACAGCCGCGGTGGCCGGGGCGGTGCCGCGGGCGGCTTCGGTCGCGGCGGCAGCAGCAGAAACGGCTTGCCTGCACCGGCATGGGAGAGCGGCGGGCGTACGCCGGCGGCCGGCGGTCTAGGCGACCGGACGCCGGCCTGGGGCATGGCCAAGGGTAAGTTTCCAAAACACCAAGCTCCTGAATTTTGCTGTACTCGTATAATTACACTGTTGTTCTCGTCACCGGCAGCTAACATGACGACAGCTTCTTCACACACACCGGCATGGAACCGCAACGACGCGGCTGGTGCGCGCACACCCGCTTGGGCCGCCGATGGTTCACGGACGGTCAACCCGTACGACGGCAGCCGGTACGGCTCAGGCTCGCGCACACCTGCCTGGAACTCGGGTGCGAAGACGCCGGCGTATGACGGCTTCGGCCATGGTTCCAAGACACCTGCATGGGGCGGCAGCGGCAGCGGAGGCGGCAGCAGCAGCGATGCATGGGGCTCGGGCTCCAAGACGCCGGCCTACGGTGTGTCCGCACCCACGCCCGGCGCGAGCGGCAACGACTCCTGGGGCTACACACCGGGTGCCAGCGGCTCCGCCGGCGCGGGATACGATGCGCCGACGCCTGGTGCCGGTTTGAGTGCGCCGACACCCGGGGCGCTCAACGCGCCGACGCCCGGTGCCTACAGTGCGCCTACGCCGGGTGCGGCTCTCAGTGCACCGACACCGGGCGGCGGCTGGGCGGGCGGCTGGGGTGCAGACTCGGCGCCCACACCCGCGGCGGGTGCGCCGACGCCCGCTGCTGGGGGCGGCTACTACGGTGCGCCAACGCCGGCCGCATATGGCGGTGCGCCCGAGACGCCGGCTGCAAGCGGCCCGCGGTACGCCGACGACGACTAGAGCGCGTTGCCGGCACGCGAGTGGCCGACGACTGCGTAGCGCATCAGCGCGCGTGGTGGGAGGGTGGAAGGGGACAATAAAATGGGTTTTGGTGAATGGGATAGCGGAACGGAGGATAATGTGGCTTGTATGCTGAGTGGGCGTCTCTACTTTTTTGTTGCGTTTTTTATGTTGTTGGTCTCGCCGCTTTCTTCTTTCTTTACTTTATCTTTTTCTTCTCTTTTTTTGCATCACCTCGTCTTTTTTTTTCCTTGTCTTCTCTCTCAAAGCTCTGGCGTTTATTCATATTGCTTTATTTTTTTACTTATTTACTTGCCCTCTTCGATCAAAAGGGCACGGCGGTGCCGTCTCAAGGAGGAAAAAAAGGAACGGTGCACCAAAATGCATCACGCACCGAAACAACTGAATAGAAAATAGAACTACCTACTCTGTCACAACCTTTCTTTATGCAAATGGCCAATTGTTTGTCCCATTGTATTACGCACTCAGTGTTCCGAATTTCGAAATTTCGTCTTGGCTTTTTTCGTTTGTGGGTTGCTCATTCTTTATGACTGCATTGTTTCTGCTGCCTTCCATCATTTACGCCGGGATTATGTAGTTCTTCACCCCACGTAGGAATACTCTCCTTGAAATGGTAATATATGACGGGCATGCCTCTCTTCAAGTTTTTTTTTTATCTTCTGGTCACACTTCTTTATTCGGTACTCTCTTCCGCACATAAACAACACGAAACCGCGTGCACTCTCGTTCCCTTCCCGTTCCCCATCGACATATCGAGTTTGCTCCGTTTCTTTTTAGCCGGCCATAGTAGGCATCCGTTATCAATAGTATCTGGCGCCCGCGCACTCTTTTGCACCCTTCTTTTTACCCCGGTCCATCTGCCGTGTATTTTATTTACTTATTTTTATTATTATTTGCTCAACACCCGTCCCCATGGCGAAATAAACAAGGCTCTCGCGTGCGTGGCAGACTCTCCATATTCCTTTACGGGTCCACGGAGGATCGTGGAGGCACTGTCCCCTTCAAACCATTTGCAAAAGATTTCAAACCCTTCACACGGTGTCGGAGTCCTTGAAAAGAGGGAGTCGAAAAAAAAGTTGACCATGACTGGGCACAAACCACGACTGGAAAACATGTATCTTATGTCGGACACGTCTTTTTTTTCTGTCTCATTTTCTTTTATATACGTCCGACCTCGAGTCCTGGGGGATGACAGTTAATATAGTCTAGCTCTGGTGAACTGTTGTTTGTCCCATGACGCCGTCCTATCCAGAGTATCCGGCACATAGTGCCTTTTTATTTGCTCCTTTTATTTCATTTTCTTTCCTGGGTCGGCCAAGAGGAGGAAAGCGGCCATAATTCAGCCACCAATATGTAAAATATCCTGGTCACAGCCCGAGCACTCTCTTATCCTCTCGCATCCTCTCATTTAAATATCAGTCCAACCGCACCTCTTGTCCGTCGTTTCCCCTTTCTCTTCTCTGCATCTGACGTCGTCTGGTCGCCGTATCCTCTTTTCTTCTTTTCTCCGCATTTCTTCTCGTCAAGAAGCAGAAGCAGCAACGATGAAGGTCACCGCAGCCCTCGTCCTCCTGGCGTCTGTCGCCGCAGAGGCCCATTGTACGTCAGCACCGTAGGCGCCTGAGACCGGACTTGCAGCTAACATTGCAGATGTTTTCAAAAACACCATCATCGACGGCGTCAAGACCGGCGACTGGGTCAACGTTCGCAAGACGACCAACTTCCAGAGCAACGGGCCCGTCACCGACGTCACCTCGGCCGCCATGACCTGCTACCAGCTGGCCGGCGGCAGCGAGGGCGCCAAGACATACAACGTCACCGCCGGCCAGAAGCTCAGCTACGTCGCCACCACGTCCGTGACGCACCCGGGCCCGCTGTCGTTCTGGATGGCCAAGGCGCCCGAGGGCGAGACTGCGTCGTCCATGACCGGCGCGGGCCCGGTCTGGTTCAAGATCTACCAGGACTACCCGACCGTGGGCACGGCCCTGACGTGGCCGTCGCAGGGCAAGTCCGTGCTGGACGTGACGATTCCCAAGTGCATCCCGAGCGGCGACTATCTGCTGCGGGTCGAGCACATTGGCCTGCACAGCGCAAGTGCCGTGGGCGGCGCGCAGCTGTACATTTCGTGCGCTCAGCTCACGGTGTCGGGCGGCAGCGGGTCGGTGCCGACGGGGCTGCAGTCGATTCCGGGCGTCTACAAGCCGACCGACCCGGGGCTGGTGGTCAACATTTACTACCCGATCCCCACAAACTACAAGCCGCCCGGCCCGGCACCTCTGAAGTGTTAGGGGAGGATTGGACTTGGTTGTTTCTTAAGGAAAGAGACTGTATCTTCATAAGCGAACATCGAATCTAAGTGTATCATTTCCAGTATCATTCAAATATTATTCAATATAATCACGTCAATACACGAGTCAACAGGTAAGGCGTGTAAATTCAAATAAATATCCCACACCGACGTATATAAAAGAAAATGAGACAGAAAAAAAAGACGTGTCCGACATAAGATACATGTTTTCCAGTCGTGGTTTGTGCCCGGTCATGGTCAACTTTTTTTTCGACTCCCTCTTTTTCTTCTTTCTTTTTGCACAGACGGCCCCTCAACCGTCTTGGTCTCTGGTCTTCCTCTCCCGTGCAGGCCTGGGTACTTGCCATTAGTAAAAAAAATCAGTTGGCTCCGTTTTTGTGTGGATTTTGGTTCCCATTCTAAAAAAAAAAACACCAAGTTCGTTTCGTTTTGGTCCACTGTTTGTTGCCTCTTGCCATTTTTTTTTTCTTTCAACAACTGCTTCCAACGCACCGTCCGACTCAACAAAGGCTCCAAAAGCCCGGCGCTTAGCGCTGGGACATGGCCTTGGTGACGAGTCTCTTGAGGGCCAGCTCCTTCTTCTTCAGGTCCTCGGCGGACGAGTCCTCAATCTCGAGCTGGGCCATGGCCTCGCTCAGGGACTGCTCGATCTTGTCCTTCTGGCCGCGCCGCAGCTTCAGCGACAGGGTCGGGTCCGAGACGATGTCCTCGACGCGGCTAATGTACGACTCCAGCTGCTGCTTGGCCTCGAAGCGCTTGCTGAACGCCTCGTCCTTGGTCTTGAACTCCTCGGCCTCGCCAATCATCTTCTCAATCTCCGTCGACGACAGCTTGCCGACCGAGTTGCTGATCGTGATGTTGGCGCTGCGGCCCGACGTCTTCTCCGTGGCCGTCACCTTGAGGATACCGTTGACGTCCACCTCGAAAACGACCTCCAGAGCCGGCTCACCAGCGCGCATCGGCGGGATCGGCGCCAGCGTAAATTCGCCCAGCGACGTGTTGTCCTCGCAATTGACGCGCTCGCCTTGATAGACAGGGAAATTGACTTGTCCCTGGTTGTCTGAGACCGTAGTGAATGACCTTTTGATTTGTAAGCAGTTAGCAACGACGAAAGGAGCTGGGGAATGTCGACAGAATTGCAAAAAACCCAAAATTCGTGATGCTGTGATGCAAAAAAGAAAAGTGGGCCATTTTGGATAAAAGTGGGTCTCATCCGGGGGAATAGGAAAGGCAGGAACTTACCGCTTCTTCAGGGTAGGCACGGTGGTGCCGCGGGGCACGACGGGGGCAAAGATGTTGCCCTCCATGGCGACACCCAGCGACAGGGGGACGACATCGAGCAGCAGCAGGTCGGCGGTGTCGGCCGAGGTGGCCTTGCCCGACAGGATGCCGGCCTGGACGGCGGCGCCGTAGGCGACGGCCTCGTCGGGGTTGATGCTCTTCTCGAGCTTCTTGCCGTTGAAGAAGTCGCTCAGCAGCTTCTGGATGCGGGGGATGCGGGTGGAGCCACCGACCAGGACAATCTCGTCGACGGCGCCCTTCTCGATAGCGGCGTCCTTGAGGACCTGGGCGACGGGGTCGAGGGTGCCCTTGAAGGCGGTGCTGTTCAGCTCCTCGAAGCGGGCGCGGGTGATCTGCAGCGAGAAGTCCTCGCCGTCAAAGAGCGAGTCGATCTCAATGGTGGCCTGGGTGCCGCTGGACAGCGTGCGCTTGGCACGCTCGCACGCCGTGCGCAGACGGCGCAGGGCGCGGGCGTCGTTGCCCAGGTCCTTCTTCGTCTTGCGGGCAAAGTCCTTCTTGCAGTGCTCGAGCAGGTTGGTGTCAAAGTCCTGGCCGCCCAGATGGGTGTCGCCCGCCGTGGCCTTGACGGTGAAGACGCCGCCCTGGATGTTCAGCAGCGAGACATCGAACGTGCCGCCGCCCAGATCGTAGATCAGGACGTTGCGCTCCTTGGCGGACTTGCCCGAGCCCAGACCGTAGGCAATGGCAGCGGCGGTGGGCTCGTTGATGATGCGCAGGACGTTGAGGCCCGCAATGGCACCGGCGTCCTTGGTCGACTGGCGCTGGTTGTCGTTGAAGTAGGCCGGGACCGTGATGACAGCCTTCTCGACCTTCTTGCCGATCTTGACCTCGGCAATCTCCTTCATCTTGGTCAGGACCATGGCCGAGATCTCCTGCGGCGAGAACGTGTGCGTGCTGCCCAGGTACTCGACCTGCACCTTGGGGTTGCCCTCCTCGTCGATGACCTTGAAAGGCCACGACTCAACGTCCTTCTTGACCGTCGGGTCGTCGAATCTCCGGCCGATCAGGCGCCTGAACCAGCGTGTTAGCGGATGTGATGGCAGGACAGCAGTATACCCCACCAACCCGCATCCAGTGTGAACCTACTTGACATCGAAGACCGTGTTGGCCGGGTTCATGGCCGCCTGGTTCTTGGCGGCCTCGCCGATCAGGCGCTCCTCCTCGGTGAAGGAAACGAACGAAGGGGTGGTGAAGCTACCCTGCTCGTTGGCAATGATCTCGACATTGCTGCCCTCGTAGGTGGCAACGCACGAGTAGGTGGTGCCTGTGGAGAGCGAGTTAGATGTGGACGAATGACGACGGAGAGGATGCCTGCCAGCGATATCAACCAAGACGTCGACATCGAGAACGAGGTTGAGGTCGTCGATTA